TTTTCTTACCTGGCAATAGGTTTATAAATTTTATTGATATTTTCACAGAACTAGCTTTTGATATTGTTGATTTTCTTTTCTTTTTTTAATACGGAGACTCGCTCTGTTGTCAGGCTGGAGTGCGGTGGTGTGATCTTGGCTCGCTATAACCTCTGCTTCCTGGGTTCAACCAATTCTCGTCCCTCAACCTCCCAAGTGGCTGGGATTACAAGCACACACCACCACACCCAGCTAATTTTTGTATTTTAAGTAGGGACGGTGTTTCACCATGTCGGCCAGGATGGTCTTGCTCTCCTGACCTCGTGATCCACCTGCCTCAGCCTCCCAAAGTGCTGGGATTACAGGCCTGAGCCACCGTGCCTAGCCAATATTGTTAATTTCCCATTTTCAATTTCATCGATGTTTTCTGTAATTGTTATTTTCCTGTGTTTGATTTAGATTTATCTTGCTCTTGTTTCTCTAGTTTCCTAAAGGAGAAGGTTAGATTAGATTGATTTTAGACTTACTCTGTTTTGTTGGTTTTGTCTGTTCGAGACAGGGTCTTACTCTGTCTCTGGCTGGACTGCAGTTGTGCAGTCTCAGCTCACCAAAGCTTCAACCTCCTGGGCTGACGCAGTCCTCCCACCTCAGTCTTGTATATTTGTTAAGGTGTGTTTTACGGCTCAAAATGTGGCCTAACTTGGTGAATATTCCATGCAATCTTGGGAAGGATTTGTACTTTGCTCTTGTTGGTTGCAATATCCTGTAAATATCTCTTAAATCCAGTTGACTGATGATGCTGTTGAGTTAAAACTATACTGTTAAATATCCTTTGGGGCCAGGTGCAGTGGCTCATGCCTGTAATCCCAGAACTCTGGGAGGCTGAGGCAGGTGGATCACCTGAGATCAGGATTTCAAGACCAGCCTGGCCAACATAGTGAAACCCTGTCTCTACTAAAAATAAATTAGCTGGGTGTGGTGGTACAAGCCTGTAAGTTCAGCTACTTGGGAGGCTGAGGCAGGAGAACTGCTTAAACCCGGGAAGTGGAGGTTGAGGTGAGCAGAGGTCATGCCACTGCACTACAGCCTGGGTGACAGAGCAAGACTCCATCTCAAAAAAAAAAGAAAGAAAGAAAGGAAAAGAAAAGCTGGGTGCAGTGGCTCATGCCTGTAATCCCAGCGCTTTGGGAGGCTGAGGTGGGCAGATCATGAGGTCAAGAAAATTGAGACCATCCTGGCCAACATGGTGAAACCTCATCTCTACTAAAAATACAAAAATTAGCTGGGTATGGTAGCATGTGCCTGTATTCCCAGCTACTTGGGAGGCTGAGGCAGGAGAATCGCTTGAACCCAGGAGGCAGAGGTTGCAGTGAGCCAAGACGGTGCCACCCCACTCCAGCCTGGCAAGAGAGCAAGACTCCATCTCAAAAAGAAAAAATAAAAAGAAAAAAAATTATCTCTGGTATTGAAAAGGCAAAAAAAGAAAACCAAACAAACAAACCTATACTATTAATGATTTTCTTTCCACTTGATTTGTCAATTACCAATAGAAGTACGTTGCTGTGTCCCACTATAAAGGAGAATTTACTTACTTTTCTTTGCCTAAGTTTTTGCCTTACGCATTTTGACGCTCTGTTATAGCTGCATACCTATTAAGGATATACGACAATTGATTTGGTCAGATGCAGTGGCTCACATTTGTACTTTTAGAGGCCGAGGCAGGTGGGTCATCTAAGGTGAGGATTTTGAGACCAGCCTGACCAACATAGTGAAACCCCTTCTCTACTGGGTGTGGCGGTGGGCGCCTGTAATCCCATCTACTGGGGAGGCTGCGGCAGGAGGATTGTTTGAACCCAGGAAGCAGAGGTTGCAGTGAGCCGAGACTGCACCAGTGCACTCCAGCCTGGTCAACAGAGTAAGACTCCATCTCAAAAAATAAAAAGATAGTTGATTTAAAGTCTTTGTCTAGTAAGTCCAATGGCTAGGGTTTTAGAAATGGTTTATCTCAAATGCTTTGTTTCCATTAATGAGCTTTTTCTGTTTCTCTGTATTCCTCATAAACTTTATTGTTGTTGAAACATGGATATTTGAGTATCATAAGGGGTAACTCTAGAAATCAGTTTCTCCCTCCTCAGTGTTTGCTATTTTTGTTGACTTTTCCAAAGTATATTTGCAGATTGTATTACTTGTTAGGCATAGCCCTTGAAGTTTCTGTTCCTTTAGTTTGTGTTTAGCCTGTGTTTTGACAGCGATTTCCTTGCATGCCAGGAGCTAAAGAAGCAGAAACAAGAAAAACCTTGGCCAGGCACGGTGGCTCAATCCTGTAATCCCAGCACTTTGGGAGGCCGAGGCGGGTGGATCACAAGGTCAAGAGATCAAGACCATCCTGGTCAACATGGTGAAACCCCGTCTCTACTAAAAATACAAAAAATTAGCTGGGCATGGTGGTGTGTGCCTGTAATCCCAGCTACTCAGGAGGCTGAGGCAGGAGAATTGCCTGAACCCAGGAGGCGGAGGTTGTGGTGAGCCGAGATCGCGCCATTGCACTCCAGCCTGGGTAACAAGAGCGAAACTCCCTCTCAAAAAAAAAAAAAAACCACCTCACACCTTCCAGTTTTTATAGATGGTTCTATCCTGCAGCATTCCTTTAACACTTAGCAAGGCTGCTTAAAACTTTGGTTCCACCTTCACTTTCTACCTAACTGATCCTAGATTAGCCAGTGCTGAAAATGAGGGTGTTCTTAGGTCCATGGTGTTAGCTGTGGGTTTTTAATAGATGCCTTATAACAGGTTGAGGAAGTTCTATTCCTAGTTTATTGAGTGTTTTCATTGTGGAGATGTTGAACTTTGTCAAGTGCTTTTCCTTTGTACATTCTGGATATTAATACCCTGGCAGTTACATGATTTGCATTTTCTGCAATTCCATGGGTTGCCTTTTCACTCTTCATAATATCGTGAGGGACAGAAGTTTTTAACTTTGATGAAGTTGAATTTGTCTATTTTTTCTTTTGTTGACTGAGCTTGTGTCATATCTAAGAAATCATTGCGAAATTCAATTTCATGAAATTCTCCCCTCCATGTATTCTTCTAAGAGTAGTTTAAGTCCTTGACTCATTTTGTTTTCATTTTTGTATATAGTGTAAGGTAAGGGTCCACTATTTTGTATATAGTGTAAGGTAAGGGTCCTGACACTTCTGCATGTCAGGATTGTTTTCCCAGCACCATTTTTTTTGCAACAACTTCCTTTTCCCACTGCATGATCCTGATACCTTGCTGAAAATCATTTAATCATATATGTGAGGATATCTTTCTGGATTATCTATTTCATTGATGTATATGCCTGTCTTTGTGCCAGTACTATACTGGTGTTTTGTGTGTTTGTTTTTTTTGAGATGGAGTTTTGCTCTTGTTTAATGAGTGGAGTGCAGTGGCTGGGTCTTGGCTCACTGCAACCTCCACCTCCCGGGTTCAAGTGATTCTCCTGCCTCAGTCTCCCAAGTAGCTGGGATTATAGACACCTGCCATCATGCCTGGCTAATTTTTGTATTTTTAGTAGAGATGGGGTTTCACTGTGTGGACCAGGCTGATCTCAAACTCCTGATGTAAGGTGATCTACCAGCCGGGCGCGGTGGCTCAAGCCTGTAATCCCAGCACTTTGGGAGGCCGAGGCGGGTGGATCACGAGGTCGAGAGATCGAGACCATCCTGGTCAACATGGTGAAACCCCGTCTCTACTAAAAGTGCAAAAAATTAGCTGGGCATGGTGGCGCGTGCCTGTAATCCCAGCTACTCAGGAGGCTGAGGCAGGAGAATTGCCTGAGCCCAGGAGGCGGAGGTTGCAGTGAGCCGAGATCGCGCCATTGCACTCCAGCCTGGGTAACAAGGGCAAAACTCCGTCTCAAAAAAAAAAAAAAAAAGGTGATCTACCCACCTCGGCCTCCCAAAGCGCTGGGATTACAGGTGTGAGCCACCAATCTATTGTATATTTAAGTTTGAAAAAAAGAGTGAGACTTTATAATTTGTTCCTCTTTTTTGAGATGGAGTCTTGCTGTGTCACCCAGGTTGGAGTGCAGTGGCATGATCTCTGCTCAGTGCAACCCCCACCTCCTAGATTCAATTCTCCTGCCTCAGCCTCCTGAGAACCTGGGACTACAGGCACATGCCACCACACCCAGCTATTTTTTTGTTTGTTTGTTTGAGATGGAGTCTTGCTCTTGTTGCCCAGGATGAAGTGCAATGGTGTGATCTCAGCTCACTATAACCTCCACCTCCCGAGTTCAAGCAATTCTCCTGCCTCAGCCTCCTGAGTAGCTGGGATTACAGGCATGTGCCACCTTGCCCAGCTAATTTTCTCTTTTTAGTAGAGATGAGGTTTCTCCACGTTTGTAGGGCTGTTGGGCACCACAGAGTCATGGGGTGTCCGTTATGCTGTGCTGAAGTGCAGGATCCAAGAAGTAAAGAGACAGGACACTGAAGAGCTGGTGAAGAGCAGCTGGACTTGGTGGGCCACGCCACCTATCAGCGGAGATCGGTGAGGCCCCAAACGCGCACAAGCGTCTGTATTTATTAGGTACAGGCAGGGGGCAGGGTGCTAAGTGAGGTCATCATCTATAGGCTTTGTAATAGGGCATACATAATCACATGAGTCACAAGCGAGGGGGCTACCCCATTATGTCACTTGGGCAGAGAGGTGGGCCGTGCACAGTAGTAGAGGGTCGTGTACAGAAAAGGAGTCCACCCCCATTAGGTCACTGAGGCAAGGAGATGGGCTGTGTGCAACAGGTGTCGTGCACAACATTTCTTATCCGGGGGCTGGAGACTTCAAAGGATTTCTAATAGAAGGATACTATAAGCCAATGCAGTGGGAGCTGACAGACTTGTGCTCTTCTCTTAAGATATTTATGGGAAGATGATTTGAGCTGGCACAGAAGCAAGAAAAGACTGACAAGGTGTACAGCCGCTGTGACTGGTCACACCAGAAGAGTTCTTCTCCTTCGGCTATTTCCAGGATCTCAGGCCTGAGGCCTACTTTCCACAGGAACTGGATGCAAGGTACTACAACTCTTTTATCAGGAGGAGAGACTCTTGCTCCAAGCCTGCCATACAGCATACACCCTTTCAGGCAGGGACACCACGGCCTGGGTCTTTGGTTCTTGTCCTGGTCTGGCTGTTTTCCCATGTGCTGCTTCTGTTCTGTGGCTGCTCTAGGCATTCCTCCTACTACAAACTACTATATGGTAATATAGAAGGATTCTATAAATCAGCACTAAACGTGTCAGTACAGCTCCGATTACAATACCTATATGATTATATAGAAAGATTATATGGGACTAAGCATGTTAGATATAAGTATTAACTATGATTAAGCTAGATATATGTAAGCAGTAAGTTATACTTCAGACACGAATTCTATAAACTAATGAGTATATATAAAGGATTATATAAAGGAAATAGCTGAGTAATAACACTATAAACTAAGGTATTCTTCAGGCACTAATTGTGCCTGGGGTCTGGACAGTTCTCCTTCCATGGGGGGTGCTACCCACACACATTGGTCAGGCTGGTCTCGAACTCCAGTGATCTGCCCACCTCGGCCTCCCAAAGTGCTGGGATTATAGGCATGAGCCACCATAATTTTTAAAAATACTTTTAGTAGAGACAGAGTTTCACCATGTTGGCCAGGCTGGTCTCAAACTCCTGATCTCAAGTGATCTGCCTGCCTCAGCCTGCTAAAGTGCTGGGATTACAGGCGTGTGCCACCACACCTCACTTGTTCTTTGTCAATCGTTTTGGCTATTTGGGGTTCCTAGATATTCCCCATGAATTTTAGGATGGACATTTCTATTTTTTTTTTTTTTAATTCATTGGTACCAGATGTAGTGGCTCACACCTGTAATCCCAGCACTTTGGCAGGCCGAGGCAAGTGGATCACCTGAGATCAGGCGTTTGAGACCACTCTGGCAAATGTGGTGAAACCTCATCTCTACTAAAACTACAAAAATTAGCCGGGCATGATGGTGTGTGCCTGTAGTCCCAGCTACTCAGGAGGCTGAGGCAGAAGAATCCCTTGAACCCGGGAGGCAGAAGTTGCAGTAAGCCAAGATCGTTCCACTGCACTCCAGCCTAGGAGATAGAGCAAGACTCTGTCTCCAGAAAAAAGGTCGTTGGTATTTTTATAGGAGTTGCATTGAATTTATAGACCATCTTAAGTAGTATGGATATCTTAATATTAAATCTTAAATGTCTTTTTATTCATTTATATCTCCTTTAATTTCTTTCAGCAACATTTTATAGTTTTCAGTGTAAAGGTCTTCTGCCGCCTTTATTATTGTTCATGGTATTGTTTCTTAATTTCTTTCTCAGATTATATATTGTTAGTGCGTATAAATGAGACTGATTTTTCTTTAAGGGATGGGGTCTCACTCTTGCCCAGTCTGGAGTACAGAGGCTGTTCACAGGAGCAATCAATAGTATGCTACAGCCTTGAACTCCTGGGCTCAAGCAATCCTCCTGACTCAGCCTGCAAAGCAGCTTGGACTACAGGTTAATGCCGCCGCACCCAGATGAAGTTGTTTCATGTTGATTTTAGTATCCTGCAACTTTGTGGTATTTACTAGTTCCAATATTTTGGGGTGTTCTCTGTGTGTGTGTGTGCATGTGCACAGTCTTTAGGATTTTCTACTTACTGTTTCATCTGTGAACAGAGATAATTTTACTTCTTCCTTTCCAGTTTGGATGCATTTTTTTTTTTCTTGCTTAATCATTCTGTCTAGGACTTCCAATAGTGCATTGAGACAAGTGATGAAAGCAGGTATCCTGGTTTTTTCCTGATCTTAGTGCAAAAGTTTTTTGTATTTCTCCACTGATTTTAATGTTTCTGTGGATTTTTAAAATATGGCTTTATTGAGTAGTTTCTTTCTAGCCCATGTTCTGTGTTTTTATCATGAATTGGTTTTGTATTTTGTCAAACGCTTTTTCTACATGTACATTGAGATGGCTGTGGTGTATTATGCATTTTTACATGTTGACCCATCTTTGCATTTTAGGGATAAATCTCACTTGGTCATGGTGTGTAATCTTTTAATATGCTGCTGAATATGGTTTGCTAGTATTAGGGGATTTTTGTGTGCATATTCACGAAGGACACTTGTCTGCAGCTTTCATTCTTGTCGTGTCTTCAGTGTCCGTGTAATTTGGGTCTCTTAAAATGAGATTGGAAGTGTTTTTCTCAAAGTTTTGGGAAGATTGATATTAGTATCTTAAATGTTTAGTTGATTTTAGCAGTAAAACTCTGCGCTTTGGTTTTTGTTTTTGTTTTGTTTCTTATATCAGTCTCCTAGAACTGAAGATCTGTTTGGATTTTCTGTTTTGTCATGACTCAGTCTACGTGTTTGCAGACATCTGTCCACTTCATTAGTGTCATCCCAACTTATTTCCGTACCCTTAGACGTCTTTAAGTAAAAGGTCTGAGGCATTGTGTTTTGCCATTATTATGGTACACATTCTGCTGCTGTTGATGTGGTGGTCAGGTGTGGGACTATGGGATGCATTTCATGGACCTATGATTTGACTTCGTTTGTAGGAAGCCTGTGTCCCTGTGTTGTGACTTTTGTATTTCTCCCTCACCTCTGCTTAGCTGAGGCAAAAACAGGGGGATGGAATGAGTTATTTTCTTTACCCCAAGAGGTGTGGCTCTGGTAAAACTCAATTAGGGTTTTGAAAAACAGTTTATTTTGAAGGCATCTTCCAAAATAACAGCAGGGTGCTTTGGAAAGGAACAGAAGGATCACTTGAGGCCAGGAGTTTCAGACCAGCCTGAGAAACAGAGCCAGACCTCATCTCCAAATAAATGAATAATAAATAAAATAATAAATCGATAGCTAGAGAGATAGGCTTTATTTCATTAAAATGAAAAGGCTTATTGCTGGTTTCCTTGCCTCAGCACATACCTGCTAGTGTCTAAGGCTATGTGCCATTCACTTCACTCATCCATTCCACTACTTATGGTGCTTGGGCTTCTTCAGGGTTATTTTTTGCTCTTAGGAAAAATACTGCTCCAATGGTCTTTTTTTTTTCCCTCAAGATGGAGTTTTGCTCTGTCACCCAGGCTGGAGTACAGTGGTGTGATCTCAGCTCACTGCAACCTCCGCCTCCCAGGTTCAAGAGATTCTCCTGCCTCAGCCTCCTGAGTAGCTGGGATTACAGGCTCATGCCACCACACCTCGCTTTTTGTATTTTTGGTAGAGACGGGGTTTCACCATGTTGGTCAAGCTGGTTTCAAACTCGTGATCCGCCTGCCTCGGCCTCCCAAAGTGCTGGGATTACACATGTGAACCATCTCGTTTGGCCTGTTCCAATAGTCTTTAAGCACAAATGCACAATAAACTACGTGGACATTAGAGAAAAATTACTGGGCTGCAGATTATGGTAAAGTTCAAGTTACATGAAACAGCACTGCAGTGTATCTATTAACACCCCTCCTTCCTTAATGCATATTTATTTATTTTCTATGGTCATCACCACTTAGGATTCTCGAATTGACTAATTTTCGTACTTTTAATCAATGAGAAATGTCATCTAGTTGACATTTTATTTGGCTGTTTCCTCATTACCAAGGAAATGGACCTTTTTTCATACATGGTCTTTCATTTTCAGTTAAATGTTTATTTTCCTATGTTTTAATCATGTGTTCATTTTTACTCTACAAATTAATCCTTTTATATTGCATGTACTGCAGGTATTTTTCTCCTACTTTGTTCTTTGTTGTTTACCTTCCTAATTTTAGTATATTTAAATTTATCACTATGTTCTTTTCATTGCTTACTCTTGTATATTATTATTTTATTTATTTTGAGACAGAGTCTCATTCTGTTTCCGAGGCTGGAGTGCAGTGGTTTGATCTTGGCTCACTGCAACTTCTGCCTCTTGGATTAAAGCAATTTTCAGCCTCCTGAATAGCTGTGATTACAGGCATGTGCCACCATACCTGGCTAATTTTTTGCTTTTTTTTTTTTTTTTTGAGATGGAGTTTCGCTCTTGTTACCCAGGCTGGAGTGCAATGGTACGATCTTGGCTCACCGCAACCTCCGCCTCCTGGGTTCAGGCAATTCTCCTGTCTCAGCCTCCTGAGCAGCTGGGATTACAGGCACGCACCACCATGCCCAGCTAATTTTTTGTATTTTTAGTAGAGACAGGGTTTCACCTTGTTGGCCAGGATGGTCTTGATCTCTTGACCTCATGATCCACCTGCCTCGGCCTCCCAAAGTACTGGGATTACAGGCTTGAGCCACTGCACCTGGCCTGCATTTTTATTAGAGTAAATCCCAGCACTTTGGGGGGCTGAGATGGGCGGATCATGAGGTCAGGATTTCAAGACCATCCTGGCCAACTTGGCAAAACCCCATCTCTACTAAAAATACAAAAATTACCTGGGCATGGTAGTGGGTGCTTGTAGTCCCAGCTCTCAGGAGGTTGGGTCAGGAGAATCGTTTGTAACCTGGGAGATGGAGGTTGCAATGAGCCTAGATCGTACCATTGCACTCCAGCCTGGCAGAAGAGCAAGACTGTGTCTCAAAAAAAAAAAAAAAAAAAAGTGTTCCGGTTTTATGTTTTATATTAAGTCTACAATAAATTGATTTGCCCATCAAGTATAGTGATGAATTTTCCTAATTACGTAAGTTTGTCCCTGTCCTATGTAATAAGGTGCTCTTGATTCTGCCACTCATTGTACAATGCCTCCCCTGAAATTAATCAATTTTGCATAATGCAAAATTGCTGGCTCATTGAAGACATTTCCTTTGATCTCTGCTAACACTGTGCTGTCTGGAATATTACACTTCGAAAATCCTTTATGTACATTAGACAAGCCATCACAGTGTTGGTTAGAAGACTTTGACAGCTGACCGATTTCATTATTCCTAATAAGTTAGTAAATGTCAAACTTTGTGATCAGCCATTTCAAAGGATAAGCAGTCTCAGAACCACTAATATTAACTCTCTTCTGCACACCAGGTAGTAGGACTTTCTTATAACAGGTACTAGAGTTTGACTTTACAAAGAAAAATTTGGGGGCAACCTAGCAGCATAGAATTCTGTGTGGAAGTTAGTATAGACAGGAGAGTGCAAGTTCGACCAAGTTGTAGAATAAATGTTTGGAGACCACAGAATCATGTTGATACAAGAGCTAGAAAGAAATTATTTAAGCAGATAGTGAGGGTAAAGGAGTCCTTGGCAAGGCTTTCCTTTTAACAAAAAGCGGCCCCGAAATCATTTCTTTTCTAACAGAGAGCAGCCTGAAAAATCAGGCTGCAAACATAGATAAGCAAGCTGGGAGCTTGCACAGGTGAATGCCAAAAGCTGTGCCAACAGAAACGGGCTATCTGGGAGTCATACATGTTCAACCTGGAAGCTTTATCTTCCCTTTTGTCACCATGTGTACAGTAAAGGAATAAGCAACATGGCACCAGGTGGATAACCCATCTGCATAATAAAAGCTTAGGGTGGGGGTGGCCAGATTCTCACATGTTATGCAAATAGTACACATGGTCTTACCAATCTTTTGTGCCCTATGTAAATCAGACACTGCCTCCTCAAGTTCATCTATAAAACTCTGTATTTCACTGGAGAAGCAGCAACCCATTTCTCCGGGATGCCTCTCTCTGCAGAAAAGAGAGCTCATCTTTTTTTTTTTTTTTTTGAGACAGAGTTTCGCTCTTGTTACCCAGGCTGGAGTGCAATGGCGCGATCTTGGCTCACTGCAACCTCCATCTCCTCGGTTCAGGCAATTCTCCTGCCTCAGCCTCCCGAGTCATCTTTTTCTTTTGCCTATTAAACTTCTGCTTAGAACCTCACTCTTTGTCTCTCTAGGTCCTAGTTTTCTGTGGCCAAGACAACGACTTTCACAGGTGTTTACCCCAGATGATGACACTGCTTCAGTATGAAGTCTCATGAACTGAGTCTAGACCCCCAGTGAGGTCAGTCTCACCTGTCCTCCTCTGCACGTATCTGGGATGTGTCACGGCTTGGTGGTCTTTGAAGATGTGGCTGGAACTTCATACAGGAGGAGTGGGCTTTGCTGGATTTTTCCCTGAAGAATCTGTACAGAGATGTGATATGTGAAGCCATCAGCACTTGAATTCTATAGGTGAGGATATGTTTTTATTTTAGTCAATTAGAGAACAAGTGTTTCTTGGCTATCAGTGCTGTTTCAAAATTTGGAATGTAGAAAGGGAGTATTTTCATGAATTGATCAGGCGTGGCTGCAGTGTACAATGAACCTACAATCCAGTAAGTTTTCCATACTTTCTAAATGATAATGATTTTTCTGGGTCTATATTTTAGGAAACAAATGGGAGAAACAGAACATTAAAGATCAATACTAAAACCCCAGGAAAATCTAAGGTGATTTGCACTCACAAGAGGAAAAAAATGTCCCTTGAGGGGAATCTTAGCATGTTATCAATTTTTCAAACAAAATTTTCAACAAAAATATATACTTAATATAACATAGATGTTGAAATGTTTGTAAAATAGTTAATTTGGAAACATAACTAAGAAACTTTATATATGGATGTTACTATTTTTATAATAGCTATGGGGGAGCCCTGTTGCAGAGTAATCAATGCATTTACTTTCAAACAATTCATACATGGCAGAAAGCCTGCACTTTCCATGATATTGGTAGCAATGTACATTCAAAGCCTATTAATGAATATGTGTTTAATTAATGAACCACTAATAATGGGTTTGTCATTTTTTACAGAAGTCATTGTAGAAAGATTGTGAAAGTAAGGTAGTTGGTGTGGAGTAACCTTCAGCTAGATGTCAAATATGAATACCTTTGAGTCAGGCTCTCCTTTGGTTCTGTGAACACATTTATAATGTACACACTGAAGTATTCTTCTATTAAATCTGCTATGTTTTCTCACAGGCAGTTTCTATTGTCAGCTTTTCTTTTTCTTGATGTATAGGCTGTACTTGTTGCAAATGGGACATTTTTGATAACATACTGAATCCTCTCAGAGTATGTTCAATTTCTGCAAGGCCTTGTTATTTCCTTTATTTTTTTACTGACTGATTGGACTATTTTGGTGAAGTCTATTTCTGTAAGAGGAAAGAAACATAGCATTAAAGAGAGATTTATTTTAGAAATAACCTGAGGCCGGGCGCGGTGGCTCACGCCTATAATCCCAGCACTTTGGGAGGCCGAGACGGGCGGATCACGAGGTCAAGAGATCGAGACCATCCTGGTCAACATGATGAAACCCCGTCTCTACTAAAAATACAAAAATTAGCTGGGCATGGTGGCGCAAGCCTGTAGTCCCAGCTTCTCAGGAGGCTGAGGCAGGAGAATTGTCTGAACCCAGGAAGCGGAGGTTGCGGTGAGCCGAGATCGCGCCATTGCACTCCAGCCTGGGTAACGAGTGAAACTCCGTCTCAAAAAAAAAAAAAAAAAAAAAAAAGAAATAACCTGAAAGAGGCTTCTGGCCAATTTTGGCCAGGAGTCATTTTTCTTATAGACTAAGAATATATATTGGTTTTAGGGTGAGGGGGCTTATTACAAGCTTGGAATGTTTACGTGTGGGGAAAAGTTTATGGTAGAGTTAGAATGTCTCTGGGAGGAGTGAGGGTTATCTTGGGGCTGGCATCTTCCCAGCCAGAGCAGAGTTATCTTGGCACTAGCATGTGTCTAACTGGGGAGGAGTCTGGAATGTTTTTAGTCAGAGATGTTATTTTTGGTTTATGGTCATGCTGACCTTAGCCATTAGGCTGATGCTGTTTGGATTTAGGCAGTGTTTGATTAAGGTGAATTTTTTTTTTTTTTTTTTTTTTTGAGACGGAGTTTCGCTCTTGTTACGCAGGCCAGAGTGCAATGGCGCGATCTCGGCTCACCGTAACCTCCGCCTCCTGGGCTCAGGCAATTCTCCTGCCTCAGCCTCCTAAGTAGCTGGGATTACAGGCATGTGCCACCACGCCCAACTAGTTTTTTGTATTTTTAGTAGAGACGGGGTTTCACCATGTTGACCGGGATGGTCTCGATCTCTCGACCTCGTGATCCACCCGCCTCAGCCTCCCAAAGTGCTGGGATTACAGGCTTGAGCCACTGTGCCCGGCCTAAGGTGAATTTTTAAATGAGATGTTTGTCCACTATAGCGTTCACGATAGAGATGCTCCAGCTCTGTCAACTGCTTCTCGTAACTTTAAGCCTTTGATATTGCTCTTGGGGAGAAGTGGCTCAGCTTTGTTCCTGCATGCAGTCATCCTGTTCCTCTCTTGGACAGCACTCAGAGGTTAAACTGCACTAATTGCTGGTTGATGGCTCTATTGTTCTCAAAAAAGTCCAGGGTCAAATTTGCCATATAAATTAATCAAAATGTGTTCTGTCTTTCGAAGAGTACTATCTGAGATCAGTGTTTAATAGGTGTTTGTTTAGACTCTTAATGGACTTCTCCTAACAGTGTTTTTCCCTAGTTTTCTCCACAAATTAGCTGGCCTAGAGTTCAGGCTGTATCTTCATTAAATCCATGAATCTCCTGTGAAATTTCACCTCCATTTCCACTGCATTAAGAATGGGGTGCTATTTGGCAAGAGGTTAGGAGCTATGTGTTCAACACCTTGCTTCTCTTCCACTTCAAGGCAAAATCTGACAGGGCTCTGAAGCTTAGGTAGAAACATTGGCAAGCTGCTTTCTGAGTGATCTTTTTGGGAACTGAGTGTTCAGAGGCAGGGAGGGACAAGAGCCTGATGTCTTCTTGGCCTGTCTCCTGGCATGGATCCACCACCTCACGAGCTGAGGTAAAGTTGATCAGTGTCCTAGTAGTCTGAGCACACCATGCTCACAGTAGAACCTCCAGTTAGTAGCTGAGTGCAAAAACCATGTCCCCACTTTTCTAACGTCCCCACACAGGATGTAACTTCAGTGATGGGTAGGTGGAGGTAAGATGAGAAAAGCTTAATTCTTGCCCTTCCTAGGAAAAAACCTGACTAGAAGCTGGGTGACAGAGTAGGAGCACTGCCATCGTGTACAAGCACCCATTTAAAAATTCACCTTAATCAAAAACCACCTAAATCCAAAGGGCATCAGCCTCATTAGGCTGATGGTCAGTATGACCATAAACCACAAATAACATCTCCAACCAGAAACATTCCAGACTCCTCCCCCACCAGAGACATGCTAGCCCCAAGATAACACCCGTCCACCTAGGAAGATGCTAGCCCTGAGATAACCCCCTGCTTGCCCAGAGACATTCCAACCCCAGCATAAACTTCTCCGCCACACCACAACATTCAAGCATGTAATCCCTCTCTCTCTAAAACCAATATATATTATTAGTCTGCAAGGGAAAGTGCTCCTGACCAAAATCAACCAGAAGCCCCTCTCAGGTTTTTTTCTAAAATAAACCTGTCTTTGATTGTCAAGGTATGTTTCATGTTTCTTTCCTCTTTCTCTAACTCTTACATTTTGTGCCAAAACTCAGGACGGGTGCTGGGGACACAGGCTCTCTTGCAACTCAGGAAGCAGTGCGCAACGGCAGCTCATCCTGAGTTAATTCCTGGATCCTGAGGGTCTCTGGCCACTTGCCCTGTCTTTTCTCTCAGTTCACTTTGCCCTTATCCTCCCATTTATCCCTCTCTCTTTTCCTTGTGAGGCTGCAGTCCAAAAGGCCCTTTGCCGATTCCAACCAGAACATCCAACATCAGACACTAATCCAGCAGACTAGTAAGATCTGCCCTCCCCTGGCTTTCTCATGGTACCCAGGAAAAGTCAGGTCTGCAGTCTTGGTCCTCAGACAACCACTGGGACTAAGCTAAAGGAAATCTTGGGGACACCCAGTTTCTTCTCATCTTGACTGTCCTATTTAGAAAGAGGACTCCACCTCTCTGTCTTTTGTCTGGAGATGCCTAGAACTAAAACAGACACCCCTGGATTCTTCTCACCAGTCCACATGGGTGCCAAACAATCCTGCATTCCTATGCCCTGTCCACTTTGCTGTCTTCTTCACAACCTCGCCAAACCTGCCTTAAGCATTTAGTCTTTTATGGTAACATGGCCAGGGCCCCAATAGACATTAAATAATGACAGCTGATGGCCCCAAAATGGCATCTTTAAATTGCATATTCTCAGGAACCTTAACAACTTTATAACCAGGAACAGCAAATGGCAAGAGGTTCTCTATATTCAGGCTTATAAGGGAGACCCCCTCACCTCCTTCTGTTTCCCAGTCTCCACCTCCTCCCTCCCCTCCCCTCCAGATGGGAAGGAGGGTGAAAAAAAAAAAATCACCAAAGATTTGGGAAGATGACTCCCTTTTCTGTTCCCAGCATCTATGCTATCCGTAAGCCTTGAAAGAGTTGCAAATGAATGTTATCCCTACTGGCTGGAGCCCGGCCCTGGGTCACACCTCCATGTCTGCACAGCCCAGGCTCCCTCCTGGAAACACCTCTGCCAACTTACACTTTACTGCCTTTGTCTTGTCTCTGTAAGCCCCCTCCCCTGCTGGTCCCCATTCACACTGCATATGAATTAGCAAATCAGTAAAGCCAGAAAAGTGTAAGGTCGGACATCCAACAAATGGACAATGACATAGTTTCACTTCAGTTTCCCCTTTAGCATTGTAAGCCTATAAAAGGGGAGAGAAGCTGCTTCTTGGGGAGCTCAGTAAATGAGGCTGTTACCTCCCCACAGCTCCCAGCCAAATAAGCCACTTCCTTCCTCACTTTAGTGTTCAATAGGTTTCTCGCCATTCCTGTTTCACCTTAAATCCCAACCCTCCCTGTATCAAGCTTGCACCTCTCAAAATCTTTCTTTTTTTTTTTTTTTTTTTTTTTTTTTTTTTGAGACGGAGTTTCGCTCTTGTTACCCAGGCTGGAGTGCAATGGCGCGATCTCGGCTCACCGCAACCTCCGCCTCCTGGGTTCAGGCAATTCTCCTGCCTCAGCCTCCTGAGTAGCTGGGATTACAGGCACGTGCCACCATGCCCAGCTAATTTTTTGTATTTTTAGTAGAGACGGGGTTTCACCATGTTGACCAGGATGGTCTCGATCTCTTGACCTCGTGATCCACCCGCCTCGGCCTCCCAAAGTGCTGGGATTACAGGCTTGAGCCACCGCGCCCGGCCCTCAAAATCTTTCTTAATGAAAACC